AAACTTAATTGCATGTAGCAACCAACATAAGAGCCAAGTAAGCACATTAAGCCCCACAACCCAACTTGGCTTTTACCTAATTAGAGATAGAATTTAGTTACGATTCCAACCAACAGTGTTTGTCTCTGGAAGTGTGGGTTTTGATCCTCCTGTAGTATTGTTCTTCAAAGTTCTAGGCTGAAGATTCCTGGAGTTGAATTCTAATACAACTTTCTCTCTTTAGAGTTTGTGGTGTGGCATTATTGATAATCCTTCAGACTGTTTCATCCACAACATTGACTACTCCTCTGGAATCATTCAAGTCTGCAGCTTTCCTTCTTATCAGAAGTAGCTCCCCTGTTCCTTGTTATATTTTGTAATGACTGTCTGTTTGAAGACACAGCTTTCTTGCAGTTAATTCCCAAATTCTTCTGCAGGGCAATCATCTGTCCCTGTGGCATAAGACAACTATTTATCAAGCAGTTGTTAAAGCAGTTGTTTATTTATGTAGCTTTGACTTATTCCTCTCCCAGGCATGGCTAATTGCTTTCAATTTCTGTACGACAGCTTGTCCTTGTCCCTTAACATTTATTCCAGACAGTTATTGCTGCTTCTTACAATTCATAAACAGTTATTAAAGTTCAGAAGTTTACACTATCATATCCCCAACAGGCAACAGCAGGTGGACTGACAAAGCACAAGAGATATCATTCTTGGAGATAGGTTTCTGCTTCCCAGAGCTACTGCCCCTGCGACATCCTGGCAACCCTAGCTATTGTGAGACCCTGCAACCTTCTTTGAACAATAGTGTTCACAGCCATGATGAGAATATGATGTGGAGGTGCTGGTGTTGGACTGGGGTGGACAAAGTCAGAAGTCACATGACACCTGGTTACAATCCAACAGGTTTATTTGAAATCACAAGGTTTTGGAGCATAGCCCTTTCGTCAGGTGAAGAGTACTTTGAGCCTGAGTAACATCAATTGCATCACTTCAGTTGGGCACAGGGCAATTGAACTTTGTAACCCTTTGTAATCTAAGACACTCGATGGGCCTTATCCAAATGTTTGGCCCTAAAATCAGGCTTGACACTTTGTGGTAGTGTCATAACTAGACTGGGTAGGTGCCCTTGGGAGTAGAGGGGCCATAACGAGTCTTGTCCCACTGCATAATAATGTCAAGTTGGACCCTGACCCTGGGTTTGTACTGTTACTACCACATCCCTGTGAAGTGGAAATGCTGTGCAACAAGGTCAGAATGGCAATATAAACATGTTAATATTTGTGTTATATGCATGCGATTCAGAAGATTACATCCAGGAATTTTTGGAGTACTTATACTCAAATCCGCAATATACAGTTGTCACAAAAATAGTCGAGAGTTCATTAAAAATGACCAAATGTCTTTATTTGGAGGTACTGTTGCATTGGCACAATGACAGAGGAAACTGAAAAGACAACAAACCAGATCGCAGATTGGATTGTGTCTGCTGTCATCCAGAAGCACTGTAGGACTTATCAGGCACTTATGTGTAAAAATAGCCACAATTGTGCTGCAAAACCAGATGTAAAAGCTGCTGTTATGTGTTCCTGCAAACACAATATACATTATAGTGCCTACTACTATTCAAAGAGAATAACATGAGAGTCTGTGTAAAGAATGTGGCTTAGTAATACTGCAGTTTTTTTTTGCTCATGTGTCACGTAAGGTCCATTGCTTCACTTAACAACTTGTTGTATATCTAAGGAGGAAGGTCATGTATTCAGTGGCACAATGTGATTTGAGTTGCTATGGAGGAGTCATCTCATGCCTCTTCCAACTTTGCACCTGGAGCAGTTAAAAAGCTTCTGCAAGTATTTTGGCTCAAAATGTTTTTAGAATAACGTAAGGTCTGCTTTGGAATCCTCAGCCGAATTTTGGAAGCGAGTATACAGAGTTCCAGAAACTTAGCTAGGATAGCGTAACCAACTTTATAACTCATTATTGCCAGCTTTACATTACAGTATTAGTTGTGTTTACAAATTGAATTTTTCAAGACAACAATAGAATCATAAAATCCCTATAGTGTGGAAAGCGGCCATTCAGCCCATTGAGTCTGCACAGACCCTCTGAAGAGCATCCCACCCAAGTCAGCCTCCCAGTTTATCCCTGTAATTTCCCATGGCTAATCCACCTAACCTGCACATCCCTGGACACTACGGGGCAATTTAGCATGGCCAATCCATCCTTACCTGCACATCTTTGGACTGTGGGGAGAAACCGGGGCACATGGAGAAAACCCACATAGATAGGGGGAGAACATGCAAACTCCACACAGACAGATGCCAGAGAGTGGAATCAAACCTGGGTCCCTGGCACTGTGAGGCAACAGTGTTAACCACTGAGCCACTGTGCTGCTCAAAGTAAATACTGCAAGTTTCAACTTGCCCAGCCCCTTTGAGGCAACTGCCTGGGATACATTACGTGTGTCTCTGGTAACGGTGGGATTCAAACCCACAACTCAATAGAGACTAGAGCTTAAATCCAGCACTTTAGATCATTCAGCCACACTACCACATTTAATGCCAAACAAAACATACTGCTGTCCATTTTGAATTAATTATGTATGTTTATGCTATCACAATTAGTTAATGGTTACCACTGATGTTTTGGTTCTCAAATTAGCAAAGAAATAAAAAAACATGGCATGGTGGCTCAGTAGTTAGCACTGCTGCCTCACAGCGCCAGGGACCCGGGTTCGATCCCACCTTTGGGTGACTGTCTGTGTGGAGTTTGCACATTCTCCCCGTGTCTGCGTGGGTTTCTGCCAGGTGCTCTGGTTTTCTCCTACAATCCAAAGATGTGCAGGTTAGGTGGGTTGGCCATGCTAAATTACCCCGTAGTGTCCAGGGATGTGTAGGTTAGGTGGGGTACTTGGAAAGGGTAGGGGGTGATGGGTCTAGGTGGGATGCTCTGAGAGTCGGTGTGGACTTGTTGGGCCGAAGGGCCCGTTTCCATGCTGTAGGGATTCTATGATCACTGGAGAAATTGTCTAAGTGATTACTGTTCAGCATAATGTATGCTATCTTTTCACACATTGTCCTCCAAATATGAGCTATTAATGTTTGTGCTTGCATAAGTAGTTGGATTTATGACAGAGTTCTGTTTTGAAAAAGAACTTGAAACACCTAACTGAAATTTAGCGGTTTATTGTTCGTAAATTTAAGGATATTTTGGAAGCACTCGCAACATCATAAAGTGCTTGGCAGTCAAATCCAGTTGCTGCTCTGCAGTGGGCAAACATGGTTTGATGGTCAAACATGGCCATACAAAATCTATTTTACTAAATTTTTCTTTGCCAAGGGTGTGTTTATGGGAAGTTACTATATTGGAACAGTTGCTGTTTAGTAGTTAAATAATCTATTATTCTGTTAAGGTTTCCAATAGAGTTGAAGTTAGATCAATTCTTGTAGAGTAAGAATAAAGCGTGTTTTGCTCAAAGCCGAGCAGTGTAACCAATAGAATTATGTCTGGATCACAGCACCTTACACTTGCCTTTAAATAACGTAATAGTCAGGATCTAGGCTATCTCCCTGATATATTTGACGGAGGTTTGGTTTGGTTCATAACATTACCTACACTACATTAGAGCTAATTGTCTATATGAAATTTATCCACCCTGTTCTCATAGCACTTTAACATATTTCATTCATTCACCATTGCAGTTTCATCCTGAATGTTGTTAGTTTCTGCTTCAACTGCTAATTCTAGAGTGATTTCACAGCCTCAAGTCTCTATGTGATAAATTTCTGTAGGCCTCTACTAAACTGCTTGCATTTAATCTTGTGTCCATGGCTACTTAATCTTAACCCTTCTACTACTGGAATCTCTGTGTCTTCTCTTGCATCACCCTGCAATCTGAATTGTAACGGAAAAGACCCAACTATTCAAATCTTTCTTCATACCAAGCAGCATCCTAGAGAAGGTATTATACTTTCAGTCAAATCTCAATGACTATGTCACTAAGCAGAGGCTGCTGCACACACCGTACTGTAATAAAGGTCATGCCCAGTGTTAATATACGTTCATCATTACCTTTCCTGGAATTTGTACTCTATAAGTTTCCAGATAAAATCTAAAATTCTTGTAGCTTTATTCACAGGCTTATGAAGCTATGGGTGCTGCCTTTAATGTCTTTCAATCAATTGTTATTCCAACTTGCAATCCTCCCCCTAATGCAATACCCCTTAATCTTCTTTGGTAATCTGCTCTGTGGTACCTTATCAAAGGCTTTCTAAAAGCCCAGGCACCACACATGCTCAAAATCTCCATCATACCATGTCTGTTACCTCCTCACAGAATTCTTTGGAGGTTTGTTGGGAACAATGATCCTGTGCTGACTTGTTCTGTTTCTCTGTGTGGTTATTTATTTTTAGTTAAAGCTTCTGATTTTTTTCCTAGCTCAGATGGTCAGTTAACTGATTTGTGATTATCTAGGTTGGTCCCATCTCGCTTTTTTGAGAATGGGTCCAACTCACGCCTATATAAAATCATCCAGCAAAAACGTTCAAATGCAGTCATATCCTGAAATTACATTCTGAGAGCCCTCTTGGTATCACTTCTCAATTCCTTCAGGATTCTCAGATGTATCCTGGTGCTTTGCCTTCTCTTAGCTGGCCTAACTTGACAAAACTTCTTTCTTTTACCGATAACAATATCGCACTAACAATACAGCACTCTCATGGTGGAACATCAATGCTTTATCCTCCTCAGTTCTGCAGTGGGACATAAATTCACACAGAACCTTCAACCTGAGATTTGTACCTTCTGCTGTGAGTTTATTGACAATTTATCATTTTCCGAGAGCAGGGATTTTGTATTTTGCCCGATAATTAAATATAGATTTAGGAATTATGTGATGGATTGATGTGTTCTGGTTGCAGGTTATATAATTATGATTCTATCTGAACTTTTATTAGCTTCCTGTTAAGAGGAGGAGTTTCGTTTTCTGGTTTTACCAACATTGTTTTTCATGTTTGCAGTTCAGTGCACAAACGGCTCATTTGGAGAAGTTTCAGTCCACGTGGATCTCTTTACGCATCCTGGGACAGGAGAGCACAAAGTCACAGTGAAAAGTAAGGAGCACAACCTACTCCAGGAAAGATAATATCTTCAGCATATTATTTAACAGGCGAATTGCACGGACACAACTGTTGTGAAAATTTTAAGCCCTGTGGTGTTTTAAATTCTCTTTGCAGTTGTTGCTGTCAATGAACTGAACTGGCAAACCACAGCTATGTTCCGGCCATTTGTAGAAATTCATGTGGTTGGGCCGAACCTCAGTGACAAGAAAAGAAAATTTGCCACCAAGACAAAAAATAATGCTTGGTCCCCAAAATACAACGAGACGTTTCACTTGTAAGTAATTGTGTGATTTTTTTTTTTCCTGTCGGTTTCTTAAAAGCTACTTTCAAGTGCTCAATTTATTTTAAGCCAGTGCTTTCGATGTGTATAAGTCGCACAGGTACATTATAACATTTGAGTCAGATTTTGGTAGAAACTGTACCTGCGTCAACCTAACATCAATTAAGATATTAGAATCCCTGCCAAAGGATGAAGTAGAAAAAAATGTACAAATCAAAAATATAAAAATGACTAGTCAGCTTGAATTTCATTAGGAAAGACTTATGGACCAACTTTATTGCATTTTTGAAAAGATGATAGAGAGGAGACATGGAAAAATGTAGGTGCAACAGATCTATGTTTCCAAAAAGCCTGGGATAAAGTGTGGAAAAAAAGACCAATAAGTAAGATCAGAACATGTAGAGTCAAAGGAAAAATCGTAGAATGAAAAGCTTTCTTGTAAGATGGAAAAGATCAGAGTTATCTGTTAAAATTGCTCATTAACTCCCACAGATACCACCAAAGTGCTTTACAGAAAGATTGTGAAGCCAAGTATGACAACGAGCTGCCTAAAGTAGTATTAAGTCATGATGTGAAGGTGCTGGTGTTGGACTGGGATGGACAAGGTCAGAAATCACACGACACCAGGTTATAGTCCAACAGGTTTATTTGAAAACACAAGCTTTCGGAGCCTCAGTCCACCTGAAGAAGGAACAAGGCTCCAAAAACGTGTGTTTTGAAATAAACCTTTTGGATTATAACTTGGTGTCATAGTATTAAGTCAGACAACCAAAAACTTGGTCCAGGAGTTAGTTATTAAGGAAATATTAACTGAAACAAAGGCAGAGAGGGTTGGGGAGGGATTTCAGAGATTAGAGCCTAGGCAGCTGAAGGCACAGCTGGAAATGACAGAGGGATTAAAATTGGGCATGCAGGAAAGGCCAGAATTAGATACGCATATATGTTTCAAAGGGTTGTGGAGCTAGAGGAGGTAAGAGACAGGGAGGCGTGAGACAATGAAGGGATTTGAAAACAAAGGTGAAATTTTTAAAGTCAAGATGCTGCTTATGCAATAGCCAATGCAATGTCATTGAGCGCAGGGGTGATATGGGAACAGGACTTGCAACAAGTTAAGTCACAAGGAGCAAAGTTTTACATTGCTTCCAGTTTACAAAGGGCAGAATGTGTACGACCACAGAGTCCATTGGAATAGTCAAGTTTCAAGGTATCAATGGCACGAATGAGAGTTTTGGCAGCAGACGTGTTTTTTTATGTACTTGTGGGATGTGGGCATCACTGGTTGGGCTACCATTTATTGCCTGTCGTTAGTGCCCTTGGGAAGGTGGTAGTGAGCTGCCTTCTTGAATTGCTGCAGTCCATATGCTTTAGGTTGACCCACAATGCCTTTAGGGAAGGAATTCCAGGATTTTGACCTAGCAACAGTGAAGGAACGGCAATATATTTCCAAATTGAGGATGGAGAGTGGCTTAGAGGGGAACTTGCAGGTAATTGTGTTCCCATGTATCTGCTGCTGTTGTCCTTGTAGATGGAAGTGGTCCTGGGTTTGGAAGGTGCTTTCAAATGGGTCTTTGATGAATTTTTGCAGTGCATCTAGTAGATAGTACACACTGCTGCTACTGAGTGTTGGTGGTGGAGGGATTGGATGCTTGTGAATGTGGTGCCAATTAAGCGGGCTGCTTTGTCATGGATGGTGTCAAGCTTCTTGAGTGTTGGAGCTGCATCCATCCAGGCAAGTGGGGAGTTTTCCATCACACTCCTGACTTGTGCCTTGTAGATGGGGGACAGGCTTTGGGAGTCAGGAGGTGAGTTACTTGTCGCAGTATTCCTAGTTCCTGACCTGCTCTTGTAACCATTGCATTTATGTGGTGAGTCCAGTTGATTTTCTGGTAATTGGTAACCCCAAGGAAGTTGATAGTGGGGGATTCAGTAATAGTAACGCAATAGTGTCTGGAATTTGTAGGTTAGGTGAATTAGCCACGGGATTTGCAGGCTTATGGGGATAGGGGTGGGTCTGGGTGGGATGCTTTCTGAAGGGTTGGTGGAGATTCAAATAGTCTGTTTCCACGTTGTACGATTTCTCTGAATAAATAAAGTGTCAGCCTCGATTATTTGGCACGGTGGCTCAGTAGTTAGCACTGCTGCCTCACAGCACCAGGAGCCTAAATTCAATTCCACCCTCGGGCAACTGTCTGTGTGGAATTTGCACATTCTCCCTGTGTCTGCATCGGTTTCCTCCCCCAGTCCAAAGATGTGCCGGTTCGGTGGATTGGCCATGGGAACTGCAGGGATAGAGTAGTGGGTTGAGTATGGGTGGAATGCTCTTCAGAGAGTCGGTGTGGACTTGTTGGGCCGAATGGCTTGTTTCCACACTGTAGGGATTCTATGAATGACAAGGATTATACTGACTCTTATTGGAAATGGTCATTGCCTGGCTTGTGTGATGTGAATGTTACTTGCCACTTCCCTGCTCAAGCCTGGATATTGTCCAGATCTTGTTGCACTTGAATACAGACTGCTTCAGTATCTGAGGAGTCACGAATGGCACTGAACATTGTACAATCATTGGCAAACATCCCCATTTCTGACCTTATGATGGAGGGAAGGTCATTGATGAAGCAACGGAAGGTGATTGAGCCTAGTAAACTACCCTGAGGAACAGCAGCGATGTCCTGGAGTTGAAATGACTGACCTCCTACAACCATCTTCCTATGTGTCAGGTATGACTCCAACCACCAGAGCGTTTGCCCCTGATACCCATTGATTCCAATTTTGCTAGGGCTCCTTGATGCCACACTTGATTGAATGCAGACTTGATGTCAAGGCCTGTCACTCTCACCTCACCTCTGGAATTCAGCTCTTTTGTCAATGTTTGACCCAAGGCTGTAATGTGGTCAGGAGCTGAGTGGCCCTGGCAGAACCCAAACTGGGCGTCACTGAGCAGGTTATTGCTGAGCAGGAACTGCTTGATGACTCCTACCATCACTTTACTGATGATCGAGAGTAGACTGATGGGGTGGTAATTGGTGGGTTGGATTTGTCCTTCTTTTTGTGTATAGGAAATACCCAGGCAATTTTTCACATTGTCAGATAAATGCCAGTGTTGTAACTGCACTGGAAGAGCATGGCTAGGGGAGCAGTGAGTTCTGGAGCACAAGTCTTCAGTACTATTGCTGGAATGTTGTCAGGGCCCGTAGACTTTGCAGTATCCCGTGTCTCCAAATGTTTCTTGATAAAACATGGGGTGAATCGAATTGGCTGAAGACTGGTATCTGTAATGCTGGGGACCACTGGAGGAGGCTGAGATAGATCATTCGCTTGGCATTTCTGGCTGAAGATTGTTGCAAATTCTTCAGCCTTATCTTTTGCTCTGATGTGTTAGGTTCTTCCATCATTGAGGATGGAGATATTTGTGGAGCCTCCTCTTCCAGTGAGTTGTTTAATTTTCCACCACCATTCACAACTGGATGTGGTGGACTCTATGACATAATGCTTGGCTCTGTCTGTCACTTGCTGCTTATGCTATAGTCCTGTTTGGTAGCTTCACCAGATTGACACCTCATCTTCAGGTGTGCCTGTTACTGCTCCTGGCATACCCTCCTGCATTCTTCATTGAACGAGGGTTGATCCCCTGGCTTGATGATAATGGTTGAGTCAGGGAAACGCCAGGCCATGAGGTTGCAGATTATGCCGGAGTATAATTCTGCTGCTGGTGATGGCCCACAGAGCCTCATGGGGATGGCCAGTCTACAGTTGTTAGATCTTTTTGGAGTCTGGCCCATTGAGCATAGTGATAGTGCCATGCAACATAATGGAGGGTATTCTCAACGTCTCCACAAGGACTGTGCGGTGGTCACTCTTACCGATACTTTCATGGACAGATGCAACTGCAGCTGGCAGATTGATAAGGATGAGGCCAAATATGCTTTTCCCTCTTGTTGGTTCCCTCGCCACTTGCTGCAGACCCAGTCTAGAAGCTATGTCCTTTAGGACCCGACCAGCGCGATCAGTAGTACTGTTAGCGAGCCACTCCTGGTGGTGGACATTGAAATCCCCCACCCAGAGTACATTTTTGTGCCCTTGCCATTCTCAGTGCTTCCTCTAAGTGTTGCTCAACACTGAGGAGTACTGTTTGATCAGCTGAGGGAGGATGGTATGTGGTAATCAGCAGGAGGTTTCCTTGCCCGTGTTTAACCTGAAGCCATGAGACTTCATGGAGTCCGGAGTCCATGTTGAGGCCTCCCAGGGCAACTCCCTCCTGACTATATCCCACTGAGCCGCCCCCTGTGCTGGGTCTGTCCTGCCGGTGGGACAGGAATATCCAGGGATGGTGATAGTGGTGTCAGGGACATTGTGAGTTATGATTCCGTGAGTAGAGCTCTCCCAATTTTGGCACGAACCCCTAGATGTTAGTAAAGAGGATTTGCAGGGTCGACAGGGCTGTTTCTGCCATTGTCTTCTCCAGTGCCTAGGCCGATGCCAGGTGATCTGTCCGGTTTCATTTCTTTATTGAGGCTTCATAGCGATCGATACAGATGAGTGGCTTGCTGGGCCATTTCAGAGAGCAGTCGAGAGTCAACCACATTGCTGTGGGTCTGGAGTCACAGGTAGGCTGGAGGAGGTGAAGATAGCAGATTTCCTTCCCTGAAGGACATTAGTGAGCTGGATAGGTTTTTACATCAAATGGCAATGGCCATCAGTCAATTCTTAATTCCGTGATTTTTAAAATTGAATTCAGATTCCACCATCTGCAATGGTGTGTTTCGAACACAGACCCCAGAACATTAGCTCCGTTTTATAATTAATGTTTTAGTGATAATACCACTGGCCATCACCTCCCCAGGATGAACTGAGAAAGGGGTGAAGTTGGGCAATGTTACAGATTTAGAAATAGGTGTATTTGGTAATGACGTGAATATGAGGTGAGGAGCTCATCTTAGGATCAAATGTGACACCCAGGCTGCAAGCAGACTGGCTTCATCTCAGTCTGTTGTGGGGGAGGGAGGGGGAGTGAGCGCTAGAACCAGTAGTTATGGAACAAAGATTGGAGCAAGGACTGAAAACAATGGCTTCAGTCTTCCCAATATTTAATTAGAGGAAATTTCTACTCATCCAGTACAGAATGTCCAACAAGTAGACTGACCATTTAGAAATTGAATTGAATCATTTATTGTCACATGTATTCAATGTAAAATACAATGAAAAGTTTATACCGTCACCATGCATAGGCGTCATACTCATTAACTTAAAATAACAACTAAAGAAAGATAATATAAAGAGAGCTACACCAGCCCATGCCATGCTGCTGCCAGTGTCCTATTCCAGGCTACACCAGCCCATGCCATGCTGCTGCCAGTGTCCCACTCCAGGCTACACCCGGTCTTAGGAGGTAGTGGTGAGGTACAGCTGGGTGCTATTACCATGTGTGTGAAAACTAACCCTGTGCTTTTGAATCATATCACTGAGAGGCAGTATGGAGATTGAGAAAAAGGGGAACAAGAATAGATTCTTGAGGGAACATCAAAAGTAATGGATGGGAGCAGGAAAAGAAGGCATTTCAATGGATTCTCTAGCAACCATTAAATACATGGGAATGGAAATATGTCATTGATTATTGGCTTAAAAGAGCAGAAATCATAGAGTCGTTGAGATATACAGCAGGGAAGCAGATCCTTCAGTCCGGTCATCCATGCCGACCAGGTATCCTAAATTAATGTAGTCCCATTTGCCAGCATTTGGCCCATATTCCTCTAAACCTTGCCTATTCATATACCCATTCAGATGCCTTTTAAATGTTGTAATTGTACCAGACTCCACCACTTCCTCTGGCAGCTCATTCCATACATGCAACAACCTCTGTGAAAAAGTTGCCCCTTGAGTCCCTTTTAAATCTTTCTCCCCTCACCCTAAACCTATTCCCTCTAGTTTTGAACTCCCCCACCTGGGGAAAATGACCTTGGCTATTCACCCTCTCCAAGCCCCTCATAATTTTATAAACCCCTCACTGTCCCCTCATTATGATGGGATGTTACTTCTGGAGAATGGAACATCTCTGAAAAAAACGGAAAATACCCTACTATAATTTTACAAAGGGACAGTTGGGAAGTGGGAGGACTTTAAAAATGAGATAACGAGAGTTTAGCGAGTTCCTTTTAGTGTGAAGAGCAAGGCTGGTAGGTGCAGGGAATGCAGGATGACCAGAGACATTGAGGCTCTGGTCAAGAAAAATAAAGAAGCATATGTCAGATGTAGACAGCTGGGATTGAGTGAATCCCTAGGAGCGTATAAGGGCAGTAGAAATACACTTAAGAGTTCCCTCTTAAGAGAAGGAGGACAAAAAGGAGACATGAGATAGCTTTGGCAAATAGAGAGTTAAGGAGAATCTAGACAGATTCTGTATGTATATTAAGAGCAAAAGAGGAATGAAGGAGAGAATAGGGCACCTTAAAGATCAACATATCCACCTATATGTGAAACCGCAAAAGTTGGGTGAGATACTAAACGAATACTTTGCATCACCATTTTATTGTGGATAAGGACATGGAAGCTAGGGAAAATAAATAGTGATGTTTCGAAAAAAGTTCATATTACAGGGGAGGAGGCACTGGAGGTCTTCAAGGTATCAAGGTAGATGGATTTCTGGGCCTCTTACTGGGATATTTGTATTATCGACAGCCACGGGTGAGGTGCCAGAAGACTGGAATTTGGTTGATGTGGTGCCATTATTTAAGAAAGGCTGTAAGGAAATGCTAGGGAATTATAGACCAGTGAGCCTTACATGAGTGGTGGGAAAGTTGTCGAAGGGTATTCTGACGGACAGGATTTATGTGGATTTGGAAGGGCAAGGATTGACTAGGGAGAGTCAGCATTTGTCCATGACAAATTGTATCTCGCTAACTTGAGTTTTTTTAAGAGGTGACAAAGAAGATCGAAGGCAGAGCAGAAGATATTGTGTATATGGACTTCAGCAAAGCATTTGACAAGGTTTCGCATGGCAGACTGGCTGGTAAGGTTAGATCACATGGGATCCAGGGGAACTAGCCAATTGGCTACAAAATTTGCATGAAGGTAGGAGAAAGAGAGTGGTGGTAGAGGGTTGCTGTTCAGACTGGAGGCTTGTGACCAGCAGTGTGCCACAAGGATCTGTGCTGAATCCACTTCTTTTCGTCATTTATATAAATGGTTTGGATGTGAATATAGAAGGTATGGTTAGTAAGTTTGCAGATGACACCAAAGTAGGTGGTGTAGTGGACAGTGAAGAAGGTCATCTCTGAGTACAATGGGATCAGATGGGTCAATGGGGAGAGGGGAAAGATTTAGAAAGGACCTGAGGGGTAACATTTTCACACAGAGGATGGTGCGTGTATGGAACGAGCTGCCAGACAAAGTGGTGGAGGTGGGTACAATTACAGCATTTAAAACACAGTTAGATGGGTTTATGAATAGGAAAGGTTTAGAGGGATATGGGGCAAACGCTGGCAAATGGTACTAGGTCAGATTGGTATGTCTGTTCAGATCAGATGAGTTGGACCAAAGGGTCTGTTTCTGTGCTAAATTGGAAATGGAGATGCTGGTTGTAATTTTGTCAGTTCTTCACCTGGTTGCTGATAGGAGCACTTTACCCACCCCACAAATGCATTATTCTGGTAAACAATGAGAGGAAAACCTGCCGAACTTTTCATAGTAGTTTTTAAAATGGCAGTTGCATTCTGAGGGCGCACTGTTCCTGTTGACTATGGGAGGAAGCACAATGGCAGAGGTCCACATGAAGGTAAATGAGAGAAATTAAGGGGGTCGGTAAGATAGATCTCCAAAGTAAATGTCTGTTTTCTTTATATATACAGTATCCTGAGCAATGAGAATGGCCCTGAATCCTATGAGCTTCATATCTCTGTGAAAGACTACTGTTTTGCCAGAGAAGACCGGATTATAGGAATGACAGTCATCCAGTTAAAGGACATAGCTGAGCGAGGAAGCTGTGCATCTTGGTATGCACTGATCAGAAATGTTTACATGGATGAAACTGGACTGACAATCCTCAGAATACTCTCACAGAGGACCAATGATGAAGTGGCCAAAGAATTTGTACGCCTCAAATCAGATACCAGATCTACTGAAGAAACCACATAAAATGAAGAGAGTGAGAATGATAGAGAGAGCGAGCCAGCAAGAAAGCATAAGTTGAAGTTATATTTTGTGCATGTCTGTTTAAATGTGTGGGTATGTTTGTCTGAATATGTGCAGGTGTGTGCAGATAATTATAAAGTACTTCAGTCCATAATTATGATGATGAAATGGGGAGTACTGAAATACATTATCTTTGGTGTCTCAGACAGCTAATTGTTCTGATAAAGTGCCAAATCAAGATTACCTAAGGGAATTTTTCCCTGGTATTTTGTGTTTTTTTTTTCAATTTGCTAAATAATTGAATTCTAGTACTAAATTGCTATTCTGTAGTTTTTACACAAGTATTTGTTGGTCCCTCATTTGTGGCAGGAGCTGTCTCTTTACCTCTGTGATGTTGGGCTGTACCTATCCAGCGCATGTAAGTGTAATCCAGCTAAGTAACATCCTAAAACTTACTCGTATATATTGCATTTTTGTTCATTCCTCCATAAAAATGAGACACTTATACAAAGTTAGCTGTTTCTTTTACATCTGCATTTCTTATTTTTCATCATTTGTTTAAAAATACCCATATTCCCCGTCCTAAAGGTGCAAGCAATTAATATTAGCTCCATTGGATTTTTCTGACATACCACTGTGAAGATGATGCTTAGCTGTCATTGTAACCACTTTCCTTAAAAAAAAGAACAGCTCACACAAGCAAACTGGCATTGTTAATTTTCAAAAGTTGCCAAAGGGATCTCGGATCCATTCAAAGATTTTTTATGCCACATTAAGAGGCCACATGTTTACAGAGCTACCGGCTGTTTTGGTGATTTGAATCGAAGAAATTACTATGTTTCTGACAAATAGTGAAGCTGTTACTATTTTCAATGATGCGCTTGTATAATGTTGCTTTATAAAATTGTACTATTGGTTCAGCTGTAACCCCATTGTTTCAACATTTTCAACAATTGGTAATTATGCAACATTCTTATGTATTGCACTGATGTTAAAATTAATGTCCTGTAAATATATTTAGTGAATAATTGTACAATAAAGTATCGGAAAATTCCACTTTTGTGTCAAGATCCATGGTTGCTGGAAAGATGCTTAGCATTTCTAGCTCAATTCTTTTTAAGATTGAAATATCCAGTTTTGGAGTATGGTGAAAATGTGACCGCAACTTGACCGCTGCAGAAAGACAGCTTTGTATTAGCACCAGTGTCAAGTTTTGTACTATGTCTAAAATAATGGATTAGTTATTTGTCAGTAGTGTCATGAGTTATTACGAGTTTGTGAAAATCCTCATTTGCTTGCCATCCAACATGTACAGACCACTCAATGAATGTTAAAAGTCTCGTTTGGATCAAGCTATAACAATCCTACCATCAGTAGCTTCATTGGGCTGATAGCTGGCTGTTCTGCTATTCTACTCCACGCAAGTGAAGGCAACATGAGAAGAGCATTGTCACCTTCAAGGTGGACTAGGTATCATTCATCGTCCAGACCTGTTATAGGAATGTTACGTTACTTTTCAGATGTGTGATTTTGGAAGTTTGATTTAGATGGAATTTCAGTGGGCCTCATTGCTCTGCTCTGTTTTTAGCTGTGAAAGTTATGGCAGTTTTAATGTTTATTACCATAACCACCTTCTGGGTAATGATCTAGGATACTGGACAAAGTCTGAATGATGCACCTTTATGGCACCAAAATGGCTGTCAATACCCCAGTGATAGTCCACAGTAGGACTACTTGGTGGTCTATCAAAGCCGAGATAGCTAACAGAAAGTGCTCAGTTTCTTAATCCTTGATTGCACTGATTTTTAGCACTTTGGATGTCCTGCTATTGCTATAACATTGGGACCTGAATGATCATCTCAAAGATCTGGATTCACTTGCTTTTCTACTTCAATCCCCCGATCCTTGCAACTGTCACCAATGTACTTTGACCAGTAGAAGTGCAATATCCTTCATACCAAGTGCTTACTCATGTGATGTTGATGGAGCACCCTATGTCTCTGAAAGCATCTTGTTGAGCTTCTGTTTTACTTTAGTTGCAATACAGAAAGTGAATTAAGAGTGTGCATATTATCTTTATGACAGCATTACTGGTCAAGCAAACATAGATTTCTTTGGCAAATAATCACACAGGCACCGTTGTGCAATGTTACCTGGATTTACTGGATAAAAGGTATGGTGAGATCTTGACCCTTATGTGGGAAACTGCACTTACAATTCCTACATGCTGTCCAAATGCTGAAAGTACTGGTCAATTCTTCATTTCAGACATTTCCTTTAGTTGCCAATGTTATCCTTCAGTTGCTGTCCAAGTTGATAATTTAACAATTTTCACTTTAACAACCCTCTTGATATCATAGAAATGTAGAATGATTCAGCAGAAGAAAGGGCTATTTGCAGGAGGCCAAAGTGTAAGGCTAATCTCATTTCACTGTCCTTTCACTGTAGCCCTTTTTTTTAGCCTTCAGATATCAATCCCATTCTTTCTGACAGTAACACATCTACTTACACTACTCTTTCAGGCCATGCACTAAAGAAATTTGCAGGAAAAACATCCTCATCTCATTTTTCAATTAGCTTCAATCATTCTCTGGTTATCAGTGTTTCTGTTACTGGAAACATACCACCACTTTGTCAAAACCATCATACCTTTGAGTATCTCCGTGAATTTCTCTAACTTTTTCTGCTTGAAGAAGAAAATCCCCAGTTTCTCTAGCCTTTCCACTTGATTAAAGTCCTCCACCCCGGTATCATTCTAGCAAATCTCCTTTGTGCTTTGTCACAAGTCTTAACATTCTTCACAAACTTTGGTGCCCATACAGACATACAAACTAGGAGCAGCTGTAGGCCATTCAGTCCTCCAAGAATACTCCACATTTTAATAAAATCATTGCTGATCAGATTGTTTACTGAACATTGTGCAATCATCAGCAAACATCCCCACTTCTGTCCTTACGATGGAGGGAAGAGCTTTGATGAAGCAGCTGAAGATGGTTGGATCTAGGACATTAGCCAGAGGAACTCCAGAGATGTCCTGCAGCTGAAACGACTGATTTCCAACAGCCACAGACATCTTTGTGCTAAGCATGACGCCAACCAGAATAAAGATACCCCCACCCCACCAATTCCCATTGCCCTTGATCTTGCTAAGACTCTTTGGTACTACACTCAGTTAAACACTGTCTTAAAGTTGATGGTAGTCATGCTCATCATAGGAGGCTTTATGTACATGAGTACATGAATATCTATGAATCAATATACCTGTACGTATGCACCTGGAGGTGCATGTGCATATTGATATATTCACACAATTGTATGTGCATGTGGAAGGCAGTGTGGTCAGGAAAGAAAAGGGTTTTAGGAATTTTGTACTGTCTCACTGTGGGCCAGGAGCTCCAATACCACAACTGGAAGTAAAAAGCAATTCCAGTAAAATTACAGTTGTTTTTCACTCCCATGAATCCCTCTTGCATCCTGAAGGAGCTATTGTGCTCTCCTCACATCATCAGCAGTCTGATCCAAGATGATGTCCACGTTAGACAAACTACTGACCTTGTGTTTGATCTCCTCTGCAAATAACGGATTGGCTGAGGGTTGGGCAGGAACTGAGAGTACTGGAACATGTCTGGCCACCATCTCTTTGCTCTCAGGGTCTGCACCCTCCTCTGTATGGAGATAGGTGAAAAGAACACAGGATATTAGTCTCAATTAGTTTATCGTTTTACATTACAGTGCATTGCTGGTGACTATGCCAAGTCCATTTCTTGTTTGTTATGAAGGCAATGACTGGATAGATTGGGTTTGTTTTCCCTGGAGCACAGTAGGCTAAGCGGGGATCTGACTGAGGTGTACAAAATAGAGAGAAACACAGACTGATCATGAGAATCTTTTCCCCATGGTAGACGTATCTAAGACCAGGAGGCATCAGTTCAAAGTGAAGAGTAAGTGGTTTACAGGAGATCTGAGGAAACTTTTTTTTTCACCTTGCAGATGGTAGAAACACAGAATACATTGCCCGAGAGGGAGATGGAGGCAGGTGCTCTCACAACATTTAAGCAGCATCTAGACTAGCATTTAAAAGCCAGTGTAGAGTAGGCTATGGACAAAAGGCAGGTAAATGAGATTAGTGCAGTTTACTGTCTATTGGTCTGCATAGACTTGATGGGCTGAAGGGCCTGTTTGCATGCTGTATGACTATCCATATTCCCACCACCCCTAATAACCTTCTGCCCCTCTTATGAAGAACCTCTCCATCACTGCTTTAATTAGACACATTTCTCCAGCTGAAACCCAACAAATGAATAACAGTTAGAGACAAAGAAACTGCAGATGCTGGAATCCAAAGCAGGCAAACAGGAGGCTGGAAGAACACAGCAGGCCGGGCAGCATCTGGAGGAAAGGAGCTGTCAACGTTTCGGGTATTAAACTTCAGTAACTCCCTTGCTTTTGTATTTGGTGCCTCCACTTCATAAGCCAAAGATCCCGTTGGCTTTTCTTTGGCAACCTTCTCAATTTCTTCTGTCACCTTCAAACACTTTGATACAGACACCCCCAAGTAGCTCTGTTCCTGCATTCTCCTTGACATTTTCAGAATTTCATTGTAATTGTCTTTCCTCTTTCTTCCCACCATAATGTATTGCATCACACATCTGTGTTAAATGGCACCTATCATGTGTTACCATTGCTACAGCTGTTTATGTCATCCTGAACTCTCTTACTGTCCTCACTGTTCACTAATTTTCCACGTTTCATGAATCAGCTGCAAATTTTGAAACAGTTTTCTGTGTAGATAAGTCCCAGATTTTTATATATACACCAGAAAAATCTGAGACCCAAATATTGATGCCTCAGGACAAAACAATTATACTACCATCCAGTATGAAAAATAACCACTCACCAGTGCTGTTTTTCTATCTTACTCATTTTGGTATCCACTGTCTTAATAAACCATTAATTTTGCTAACAAATATGTCCCAAATGCCTAATAAAATTCCATATAAATAACCTTCACCATGTTATCTTTGTCTCAACCTCATCATGTGCCTCTGTAGAATGGACCATGAATTGTGAATTTGTATAACTCATTTAACATCCTGTTAGTTGTGTTTTGAGAGTTCTAATTTAAAAATAACCAACAACAAAACTTAGCTTTAAGCGTGATCAAAGGTAAGTTTATGACACAACTATCGTTGAATGTTATTAAGTTTAAAAAAAAAACAATTATTAGATAAAATCTAGGTACAAAGATTAAAAGTAACTATGGATAAAAGATGTTTATAGTGATGAAATTTGCAGTCTGTTGTCATTTTAGGCTCGTTACTTGCTTGAAGATTCGCTTTCAGAAGACGAAGAGATTGAAAACTTGGAGTGAGAATTGAGCAGTTACACTCGCTTCAGCATTTGTAAGTTGGAACTTGCTTGGACTCCATACACAGAGCAGGCTTTTGCTGAGACTGAAGATTTCTAGTTCCTCACTAGATCAGTGGTTGTGACACTTACAGATTGACCAAACCCCTCAACAGAACTGTGGTTGATTTCTGAAAGCTTTCTTCCTTGACCATGTTTTAAGTGAGAAGCCCCTTGATGAAGATGTTTCTCAGAACCATTGCTGGGAAGTTCTGTTTAGAAAGGCATCTCATTGCTTCCATTTTACAGATTGCATTAAGATGACCGCTGGCTGCTTTGCTAACTTGGATAAATCACTCTCCGCAAAGTGACATCAAATATGCTACAGTTCTCTGTGGGTGAAAATAGGGGTGGCAGGGGACGCTGTTGCTTCTCATTTTCACAGATTTGTCACACCTTTAGAGGGACCAATTTATTGTCCAAGTGTGATTGTCACCGAGAGAACATATCAACCTGCCTGCCCTTCTGGCTCACATGACTGAACAATGGATAGTCATGTGACTCTTGGGAGCCATCTTTTTAGGCTTTTACTGCTCACTGAACGAGAGATTGGCTTTTCTTTTGCAATATATCTACTTTAATTACACAGTCTTGACATCTTCATCCATTTTGTCCATTTCCTCATCAAAACGTTCAAACAAATTCAGTTG